TTCTCAGAGTTACCCTGTTGTGAACATAACATGCTGTATTCATAGCTTCAGCCCAGAAGTGCATAGGCAGCTTCTTTGCATGGATCATGGCTCTAGCAGATTCTTGAATGGTTCTGTTTTTCTTTTCAACTACTCCATTTTGTTGAGGGGTGATAAGCGAGGAAAATTCATGGCTTATGCCTTCAGCTGCACAGAATTCAGCAAACTTAGAGTTTTCAAACTCCTTTCCATGATCACTTCTGATCCTGATAACCAAACTCTCTTTTTCTCTTTGGAGTTTGATACACAGTTCTTGGAAGACTTCAAATACATCAGACTTTTCTCTGATAAAGCTTATCCAGGTGAATCTGGAGTAATCATCAACCACCACATATGCATATCTTTTCCCACCAGGGCTTTCTATTTGCATTGGTCCCATCAGATCCATGTGCAGTAGTTCCAGAATTCTGGAGGTGGTTAGATGTCTAACTCTAGGATGAGAAGTCTTGGTTTGTTTTCCCACTTGGCATTCCCCACACACTTTTCCCTCATCAATAGTCAGTTTAGGTATCCCTCTCACAACCTCCTTGGAGATGATCTTCTTCATTCCCCTTAAATGAAGATGTCCAAGTTTTTGATGCCAAAATTTTACTTCCTTTTCCTCTCTTGCCATAACACAAATTATGGATTTACTCGTGTCCTGAGGCTGCCACAGATAGCAGTTATCCTTGGATCTATATCCTTTCATGACTTCTTTATTTCCATCATTAGTGACCACACATTCTTCTTTAGAGAACTTCACACTCAGTCCTTGATCACAGAGCTGACTGATGCTGATCAAGTTGGCAGTTAGCCCTTTTACCAACAACACATTGTCTAGAGTAAGGACTCCAGGGAATTCCAGTTTTCCAACACCTTTGATCTTTTCTTTTGCTCCATCACCAAAAGTCACATAACTGGTGGAATGTGGTTTAATGTCTATCAACAGATTCTGTATGTCAGTCATGTGCTTAGAGCAGCCACTATCAAAATACCAGTCTTCTTTAGCTGATACTCTTAGAGAGGTGTGAGATATTTGTGCAACCGTATTGGCAACCCATTTTCTTTGCTTGTTAGGTACCTCCCTCATTGGTTTGGCATGATGATGCTTGTTGCCATGCATACCCTGTTTGGTTTTTCTTTGGCTAGGGAATCCATTCAGCTAGAAGCAGACAGCTTTAATATGCCCAAGTTTTCCACAGTGGTAGCATCTATGCCCTTGGAATTTTCTCTTGATTTGGTTCCAGTTTCTATGTGGTGAATGTTGTGTCATTGGTCGTGACATCCTTTTTAACATTTGAAACTCAGGCTGCAACCTCTTGAGGTTCAAGACAGGATTTTGTTTCTCAACAAATCCTATACCAGACCTATTTCCTGCAGTCTGCCCACTTTGAAGGATTTCCTCTAGGGTGTCAGTCCCAGAGTTGAGCATCCTTATGGATTTAGCCATTTGATCCTTCTCATATTTCAAATCATTTACCTCACCTTTGAGGGTGTGTATTGTGGCTAGGTGCTCTTTCCTTTCAGCTTCTAATACCTTGATGATTTCCTTCTGAAGCTCTCCTTGTTTGTACAGTTCTACACTTCTGATGTGAAGTTTCTGATATGAGGATGTAGGGTCTTCAAAAGTCAATTCCTCTTCACTTGAATCACCATCAGATATGTACACCCTGGTGGGTACAATGACATGTTTAATCATTTCTTCTTCTGATTCACTGTCAGAATCAGTCCATGTGACAGTCAGGCCTTTTCCCTTCTTCTTGAGGTATGTTGGACATTCCTTTCTGATATGTCCATACCCTTCACATTCATGGCATTGTACTGTACTGACTTTCTCCTTAGCTTTTTCTTTGTCAGCATGCAAGCTTTTGGAATAAAGTTTAGACTTGGCATCTATCCTTTTGACCAGTTTGTTGAACTGTCTCTCAAGCATGGATATTGCCTCTGATAGATTCTCCACTTCTTCCTCATCTGAATCCTCAACAGAGTTTGAGACAAGAGCTATATTTTTGCTCTTTTTCTCCACATCCTGATCACACATCCCCATCTCAAAGGTTTGGAGGGAACCAATGAGTTCATCCACCTTCATGTGGCATATGTATTGAGCTTCTTCAATGGTTGTTACTTTCATTGCAACCCTTTTAGGTAATGACCTTAGTATCTTCCTTACAAACTTTTCTTTACCCATCTTTTCTCCCAAAGCTCCTGAGGTGTTAGCTAGTTCAAGAACACTCATGTAAAATTCATGAATGGTCTCATCTTCCTTCATTCTTAGACTTTCAAATTTTGTGGTCAGCATTTGAAGTCTTGACATTTTGACCTTGGAGGTTCCTTCATGAGTAGTTCTGAGAGTATCCCAAACATCCATTGCTAGTTAACAGTGGTGGACCAGTCTAAAGATGTTTTTGTCTATACCATTGAAGAGTGCATTCAATGCTTTAGAGTTTCCAAGAGCCAATGCCTCTTGCTCTTTGGTCCATTCCTCTTCAGGAATTTGCACAGATACTCCATCCTTGTCAGTCTTCACAGGATGTTCCCAGCCAGAGTTTGCAGCTCTCCAAGCCTTGCTGTCTAAGGATCTTAGGAAGGAAATCATCCTAGGCTTCCAATAGTCATAATAAGAACCATCCAAAATTGGAGGTCTATTTGTGAATCCAATATATTTATCCATAGTACCAGAATTTAATTTCCCTAGATCTCACCCAGTAATAAACAGGCAGGGTGCCTGCTCTGATACCAATTGAAAATTCTGGCCAGCCCACGATGGATGTTCTAACAGAAGTTATAACATCCACTGTGACATTCACTACAGACCTACTATTATGCAGTAATTGTAAAGCAGTAAATAACACAGTTGGTTGTTGACCCAGTTCAGTGCAACACACTTACATCTGGGGGCTACCAAGCCAGGGAGAAATTTCACTATCAGTAGAATTAATTCAGAGTCAAACCTCCAGTTTGCACTCCTCACTTAAGACCTACCCAATGACAATTTAACCTAGAGACACTCTAGACTTGAGTATACCCATTCACTCCCTACAATCACACAACAGTGATAATCAAAAACACTTTCAAATTAAACAGTAGTATGAAGAGACACTTCAACTACACACACCTTGATTTTGCTTCAAAGCTTTGATCAAGTGACACACACTCTTGCTTAACAGCTTCGAGTGGTACACCTCCTAGAAACTACCTAACCAATGCAATCAACAGTTGTTTGGATTACAAGTGTTCCTAAGACACAATCGTGAAAGACAACTTCTTCACTTCTAATCCACTATGGTGATTTCTCTATTTCTGTATCTTCAACAACTGCCTTCTATGACTGCTTCTCCTGTTATTTATAGCAGCAGATCAGTCCTTGGGCCTGGGCGCATAAATTAGGTATTATCCATAATAAAACATTTCTTCAGTATTCTGCACGCTTGCCACATTAATCAGGTACATATTAGTTTCCCTAAGGCTTCTAAAATGTCTCCTGCATTCCAACTTGAGCTATTGATTTGTTTCCTGAGTTCTAGCTACCAGAATAACAAACCTCCGCTTGATGTCATACGACCTATGTCATAACATTGGGTATGACATCAAGCTTAACTTTTAGTTAGCTTAGTTAACTTACCCTGCACAGTCCCTATTATGACTGTATCAACATCAGACATGACATTCATACATACACTCATATTTTGCCACAGAATGCAGCCAATCAAGAGCACTTACAAAAAAAATTTATTTTTAAAATAAGTTGATCTCCACCTCTCTCTCTCTCTCTCTCTCTCTCTCTCTCTCTCTCTCTCTCTCTCTCTCTCTCTCTCTCTCTCTCTCTCTCTCTCTCTCTCTCTCTCTCTCTCTCTCTCTCTCTCTCTCTCTCTCTCTCTCTCTCTCTCTCTCTCTCTATATATATATATATATATATATATATATATATATATATATATATATATATATATATATATATATATATATATATATATATATATATATATATATATATATATATATATATATATATATATATATATATATATATATATATATATATATATATATATATATATTGTATGAGTGATGGTACACTATAGGGTATAAGATAAATTTTAAAAAAAAGAAATAGAATTCTTTAACGTAATATCTCCACCTCTCTCTCTCTCTCTCTCTCTCTCTATATATATATATATATATATATATATATATATATATATATATATATATATATATATATATATATATATATATATATATATATATATAGAGAGAGAGAGAGAGAGAGAGAGGTGGAGATATTACGTTAAAGAATTCTATTTCTTTTTTTTAAAATTTATCTTATATATATATATATATATATATATATATATATATATATATATATATATATATTGTATGAGTGATGGTACACTATAGGGTATAAGATAAATTTTAAAAAAAAGAAATAGAATTCTTTAACGTAATATGTCCAAATATGTCAACCCAATAAGGTAGTTCACCCATATAATATAAGGTACACCAATTTCTTTTATTTTCTCTAGTTAATCGACACTTATCAACTGCCTATTAGATTAACAATATTGCTATTCAATATTTTCATCTTTACATTCAAATGCTGCATGATGTGTAAAAGACCTTTGATTTTGTCTCCGTTTCTAAACTACTATTACTATTCTCAAGGAAATTAACATTAGCACTAAAAACCATTATTTATGGCCAAAATTTCTAACCAAGAAACGTGTCTAGAATCACACACGACACAAGCAACACCTCTCACGTTCTTCTATTTTTACGTGCAAGTTAACGATCAATATCTCATTACTATCATATCAACACATAATCTTCTCTTCTTTTTTTCCTAAGCTACTCCTACCTAAATTTTTCAATAGTTGTTACACCTGCAAATTATACACAAGAAACATGAGCTAGATTTAAATGTAAATTTTTACGTTACTTTTTTTCACTTTTCCTTGTGATTTGAGTTGTTCTTAATTTCAATGGCGTCAATCAACACCATTGGTTTCCAAGGGAATTGGAATCTGAGCAATGCAAAGAAGGAAAATGTGATATACACTGGAAATCTTAGATATAATTATTTTCATCATCACAACAGCAAACGAAGATTTTCATTGGTGATTACAGGTTGTAACCATGGAAGTACTTATAAGAAAGTGGACACAATTAATGGAACCAAAGTGAATGGTTTACAAGTGGCAGAGGCTCCAAGAAAATTGACAAGTGAAAACACAACAGATGTTGGTCTTGTTACAAATGGAAAATTTGTTGAAGGGAGGCTTGTGTTTCGACAGATTTTTGTTATTAGATCCTATGAAATTGGTCCAGATAGAACTCTCACCATGGAGACACTCATGAATTTTCTTCAGGTTAGTTTCACATTTTTACTTTCCATATCTATAATGTCTACAAGTCTCTGAGATTGTGCAAGATAGGCTACAATACATTACCTCAAATTCGTCAAAGTTAAACTGTGAGTAACTAAGGTATCATAATAGATTTGTCACGGATAAATAGGTTATAGGACCCTTTGTTGTTTTGTCGGTTGAACTATTATTATCCTATACAGATTTCCAAAAACTGAAGACGGCCCTGTCTAAAACAATATTCAAAGTTTCAAACCACGGTTTCTTTGCTACCATAAACATGCTTATGATTTTTTTATTTATAGGAAACTGCACTAAATCATGTTACAAGCTCTGGGATAGGAGGAGATGGATTTGGAGCTACCCGCGAGATGAGCCTAAGGAAACTCATTTGGGTTGTTACTCGTATTCAGGTTCAAGTGCAAAGATATAACAAATGGTAAATACATGCATCATGCATGAGATTCTTCTATTCTATGTCTTATACAAAAATGTGTGAGTTGAACTGAACTACAATACAAACTCATGATGATTGTGACAGGGGAGAAGAAATTGAAGTTGATACCTGGGTGGATGCAGCAGGAAACAATGGAATGAGAAGAGATTGGATAATCAGAGATCGCTGTACCGGAGAGATCATAACTAAAGCAACAAGGTGCATATTTCATCATTTATATGTTAAATATTTAGAACTTCAATTGATGTATGCTAAAAGAAAAAATTGTGATTGATGCATGCATGCAGCACATGGGTGATAATGAACAGAGAAACAAGAAGATTATCGAAAATACCCGAAGAAGTTAAAAGAGAGCTTTCTCCTTTTTACATTCATAGGATTGCTGTAGCGAGTGAAGAAAGAGATTGTGAAAAGATAGACAAACTCACAGATGACACTGCTGAGACAACACGTTCTGGTTTGGCTGTAAGTTATGTTTCTGCATGCATGCATGTTCCAACCAAACACTGCCTTACGTTGTCATTTAAATGATTCTTCGTAGTGACAGCTTTTTTTCTCTATGCAATACAGCCAAGGTGGAATGACATGGATGTTAACCAGCATGTTAACAATGTGAAATACATCGGATGGATATTAGAGGTACTAGTACTCTCTCTGATCGTATTTATTGAATAATCAATGTGTCTGATCTATGTTATGATGATTAATTTGTTTGTTGCAGAGTGTGCCGATGAAAGTTCTAGAGGATTATAAAATGAAAAGCTTGACTTTAGAGTATAGGCGTGAATGTACACAATCGAATACGTTGGAATCTATGACATGTCCAACAGAAAGAGTGATAGGCGAATCTGATAATAATTCCAGCAATAGAAAACCTGATCTGCAATACACACACTTACTTCGTTTACAAGATGATAAAAAAGAAGTTGTTCGAGCTAGATCTGAATGGCATTTAAAGCAAAATCAGCAATGATGGAATCTATACATTATACTTTAGTGATGTTTCTTTGTTTTTCTTATTAGGATCCTTTAATCTATGTACTTGTTGATTTTGTCAATTAATTTGAGATATCATTTTCTTGGCCAACTACTTACAAAGAATATTTGCCTGAATGTTTCTTGAAATTCTAAATTCCCCTCTTAAACATCAAAATTAAATCTTCCATCAAATTACTCTATGTCAAGCTTCAATACACTTTGAAAATTTTTACTTTGCAACCAGAAGATAACTATAATTCCTACGTTGAGTAAATTTTCAGAAAAGAGACCAGAGTCACATTGATTCAGTTAAATAACTAGCATTTTCTATCTAAAACTTTTCTAAACCAAGACTTTTACGTTATAAACTTTTTCTGATGTAAAAAATAGACAATATTACAATCACAAAACACACTAACAAATGTATATCCGACCATACCAAAAGTCATGATAATAGTTGTTGAAGAAAATACATAGAAAATTCAAACAATATAATAAGAACACAAAAATATAACATGAAAAATCTAAAATCAAAGAAAAAAACCACGAACAATGTCTAATAACAAACAAAGTAATGTGAGCAAATAAATTTACTTAGTGTGATGATTAGACGAAACAATTAAATTTGATGATTGATATTATTACATTTGAATGGTAAATTTTTGTAGACAACATGTTAAGCAAGACGTCCTGACTTAGCGTGAGACATCATATCTTTATTTGACTCTGGCGCACGTGATTTGTCTGTTTGAATATCAATTCAGCGTTTCATTTCAGACATGTTTCCTTTTAGTTCAATCAGAAGTGTGATTAAAAGTGCATTATTTAGAAAAACATTTTAATCTCAATTCGTTTAGGAAAGATTTCGAAAAATCTTAAATCTGTCTGAAAAAGATTTAATTGGATTTTATTTTATAAAAGATTCATTTTTAGTCCAAGGGAAAAGATTGAAATTGCACTTTTAGATTCACTTGATTTTATTTAAAACTCTATAGGAATTTTCGCTGTTGGATCATGGTTTTTATTTAAGGAGATGAATCTCCTTGTTTGAAGACTCACATCTTGAAGCCTTTAGTGTGACAGTTTATCTTCTTATCGAGTCTTTGTATTTTTGTTGTAATTCTCTATTCTTAAATGTCTTTGTCATTTTACAAAATGATAGACTATATGGTATGTGATTGTGATTTATCACACCACATATAATTGTTATCTTACAAACTCTTAGACAATGTTTTGTGAAAGTGAATGGTGTCGGATTTAGGGGGAGTCTGAGTCAAATTTCACATGTAGTATTAGGTAAAAGACATTGTATTAAGAGAATTCGGATGTGGCCTCCGTCCACTATTGACTACTTATTTAATGAGTTTTCTTTTATTTGAATGATGTTTCCTAGATGCAGGTGACGTTGCACCAAACTAGTTTAACAATTATTTGTGTTATTTATTTTGTTTACTTGTTCTTTGTTCTTATACACCATATTGTCTCACACATTATATCAATATTTTATGTGACATCTTGTCACAGGTTGAACATAATTTCAATTGGCATTAGAGCAGACACTCTGTTCTGGTTGGATGAGCTTCAAGAATTTTTCTATATTCTATTAAAATGTACAATGCCAATGAAGGAGGAACTGTTAATCGACCATCAATTTTCAATTATATGAATTATGATTATTAGAAGGATCACATGGTTTCCTTTTTTAAGTTAATGGACAACAAGACTTAGAAAGCAGTCATATAAGGATGGACTCCTCCAATGATCACATTTAATGTCAAAACTGAAACTATGAAGCCTAAAAATGACCAGTGGACAACTGAAGATGAAAAGGCGCTTGGAAACTCTTGTGCTTTTAATTCCATCTATAATGGAGTTGATAAGAATATTTTTAGGATCATCAATATACTTGCACCATTGCTAAGGAGGCTTGTGAGACTCTTGAAGTTTCTCATGAAGGTACGTCCAAACTTCGTATGTGAAGACATCAACTTCTTACAACAAAATTTGAAAACTTGAAGATTCAAGAGGATGAAAGTATCTACGAATTCAATGTTCAACTCCATGACATTTCAAACAACTCCTTTGCTCTTGGTGAAAAGATGTCTGAAGAAAAGCTTGTAAGAAAAATCCTAAGATCTCTTCCTAAGAGGTTTAAATTGAAAGTTACAACCATTGAAGAATCTCAAGATGTTTCCACAAAGAAAGTTGGTGGATTAATTGGATCCTTACTCATGTTTGAGATGGAAATAGATGACAACTCTGAAAACAAAAGTGTAAAGGTGTGGCGTTCAAAATGAACGTTGGAGATTTTGATGACCAGGTAAAACATGGTGTTGATGAAAATCTGACTGAATCCTCTGCCATGCTAGCTAAGACCTTCAGTAAGGTCATGAGAAAACATGATAGAAGGTCCAAAAATAATGTATCTATAAATGTCAAACACAATTTGCAACAAAACTCTAAAGGTGTCAAGTTTTAGCATAAAGGAAAAGATGGAGAAAAACTAAGAAAAGGCAAGGGAATTGAGTTTCATGAATATGAAGGTTTTAGACATATTGAACTTTCGTTCTTGAGGGGACAGATATTGGACACGATGTTGGAACAACTGAACCAACTTCTTAAAACAAAATGACAACAATAAAACAGTAATAAAAACACAATGTAGAAAGCAATAAATAACATAAGAGATTGTTAACCTAGTTCAGTGAACCACACCTACATCTGGAGGGCACTCTACCCGAGAAAGGAAATTCACTATATTGAATTAGTATAATTAGTCTTCTATGAACATCAGTCCCATGATGTTCAATGTATCTTCCTAATCCTAGTGACTTTCTATTTTGGACTCCCTCTAAATATGAGAACCCCTCTCACTTTCTTCAACCACTAACCACTAGTGATCAACCTCAACAACAACTCTATTGACTATTGAGTTTATAACCCAACTAAGACAAACAAACTATACTAAGTTACTAAAACATAGAGTGGCGTACACAAAGATTCAACAATAATACTTATGATGGCATTAACGTGGAATACAAGAAATAAAAGACTCATAAACCCTAGACATAAAAAACTCAATCTTTCATACAGACCTTTTAAGCAAAATATGATAATTGAGTCTCCTTATATAGCAATATATTATGAGTTTTTTTTATCATGGATCTGTAACTTAAATTCGTCTTGAACAATAGATAATCTTGTTGGATTTTATTGCTCCATAAAAATCTCCAAAAGATATGATTTTTATATTCAAATTCAAATTCAAATCTCCATTTAAATTTGACTTTATCTTCAACAACTGTCAAACAAATCAACCACACATTGCTAAAAACACTGCATTAAATCTAATTGAATATCAACTAGAATTTTTGCACCAAACAACATCCATCATGGTCTGCGACCAGGGCCAAATGTTGCACCGTTGGTGTAAGCCCTAGAGGCCAATACTTTTGGTACTTGTATCGAAGTACTTATTATTAATAAAATACATTTCTTTATTATGGTTGTTTTTTCAAGATAATAAAATCCCTAGAATAGCTAGTCTGTTTAATGAAATATTAAGTGTGACTTAATCATGAGATCTCATTAAGCATAAAGACATTACTCTTAAAGTATCTGTAGTCGAGTTTTACTGTGAAGTGGGATAACCTTAAAGCATTAAGACTATTATGTATATAGACTGATGATCGCATCTCATAGATCATGGATAATGAGTTATCAATTCTTAACATAGGTATGAATATTAGGAGAAATATTTATACTAGATTGACCCGCTATGAGAGTACTAGATAGAATATTATGCAAAGTGTCATAAGTTACTCTCACGATGATAGTGGTGTATACCACCCTTCGACCTGAAATCACTATGGACCCTAGATGTAGAGTCGAGTATTTTATTATTGATCTAACATTGTCCGTAACTGGATGACCAAAAAGACAGTTGATGGCTACTCCACAAATCATGTTGAGGGACATGAGTGACATAGATTAAATTTTCCCATCCTGCATAACGGGATAAATGTCTAAGGGTCCAATATTGAACTGGACAAGGATGGCACGATATATGTCTTGTGTTCAATATAGACATAAGGGCAAAAGGATAATTGTACACACAAGTACTACCACAAAAGGTTTTCTCAGATCAAATAAATTTTTTGTGACTTGGGTAGCAGTGGTGTGTTGTTAGATACCACTCACTATTTATTATATTAGATATATGATTTAATATAATCGTCAACGTCACGAGAACCTACAAGGTCACGCACATAAGGTCAAATTGTTGAGAGAGATAATAAATAAGGAACATTGTAAGGAACCGTGTACTTGAAAGAATTATAGAACACCGTAAGGTACAACTTATTTAAGTGAAATATGGAACATCGTATAATATAATAATAAGAGTTAATATTATTATTATTATAATAGTTATTATAATATAATAATAATAATATATGTTTATTGTAATAATGGTTATAATATTATTATTATTATTATTATTATTATTATTATTATTATTATTATTATTATTATTATTATTATTATTATTATATCGTGCACTTAAGTTAGATTTTTTAGCTTGCAACCCACACAAGTGGTTCTATAAATACAACTCTGGTGTAGAAGTTTGAGAACTTGATGAAATTCAGTTGGTGAAACCCCGACCGTTTTTCTCTATTTCTATCTCTCACTCAAAGCCTTTATTCGTAGCCGCTAGCACTGAGATTGAAGGCACTCTGTTTATGTGGACTGAGTAGAGGTGTTGTTCTTCATTCAACGCTCGTGATCATTCATCCAGATCTGCATCAAAATTATTAATCACCACAAGAGGTAATCGTTTCTATCACTGATCATGCTCATTCATAAAGATCTATAAAGAGAAAATTTTAATTTTTGTTGTGCTTTGGATCGTGATTTCCCTTTAGTGGTATCAAAGCCACTTACGAAACCATGAATCGGGTAGATGTTGATTTTCTGTACTTTCTGATTTAATTC